GCCTGGTATTGTCACTTCATCACATTCCTTTCCCATCACGTACTAAATTGCGGCCGAAGAAGGAGAAGATTATCCGAGCACACATCTCAATTTCCAATCATTGCCATGACATTCCTCGGATAGAAAGTTCTTTTACTTTCGGAGTAGGTGGACCTAATGACTCCCATTAACCAGAAAGTTGTTCGTTATGCTGGGGAAGTATGTCTCTGTAAATATAAAATAGTGTTAATGATATAGATGTGAATAATTGTAATAAATATTATATACTTAAATATAAACTACATAAAATGGACTGTAGGTCTTAATGACTTCAGAAATCAACTTTTCATAAAAGCTTTGTTACATGCATTCTTAGGAATGTTTGCAAATGAACTGAGTTGAAAAAAAAAAAAAAAAAAGCCTGCATAGGCAGTATTGACATTCATTTCTATTTGATTAAAGAACTAAAAATCTGAAAAATTTATGACATATAAATATTAACTGTGTATTCTATCCCAAATATTTCAAAAAGTCAATTACTTGGAGCAGTAAAACTCTGTAGTCTTCTTTAATGAGTTGATTTCTTTATATAGCTTATTATTTTAAAACATTTTTTGATTTCTAAAATTAGTAGACTCATTTTGAAATCCATCAAGAATCCACTCTTGCTGAATTTACATGACTAACCAGGAAGAAGGGAAGGGAAGGAGGGAGAAGGAAATTTCTTTAAGATCAACCCAGGGTGGTGCATTTGTTAGTCAGTGAACTTCACTGACAATCACTCGCCCACAACCCAGAGTTCACATTAGGGTTCGCTCTCGGTGCATATACTCTATGGGTTTTGATGACGGTATAGTGACCCGTGTCCCTTATAACCTCACACAGAGGTTATAAAAGGCCCTAAAAATCCTCTGTGCTCCACTTTCTTCACATCCCTCCCTCCCCTCTGACATGCGCCGACCTGACTGCCTCTGTGGTTTTGCCTTTTCCAGAATGTCACGTGGTTGAAATCACACAGTATGTGGCCTCTTCAGTCCGGCTTTTTTCACTTAGCGACGTGCAACGCATACATGGGTATAGTTTTCGAGTGTAATTCAACAGTTGTAAGTGTTTCAGTGGCTGCAGACCGCAGTTTGCCACTCTGAAGAATTGACAGAGGGCAGTAACCTGGGCGCTGGTGTGTCCCATCCCAGGCGCCTGATGGGCCCTGCAGCGCCTCCTGCTGGCCCCCTCCAAGAACCAACCCCCCCCCCCCCCCCGCCGCCATTGCGTTATCCCACCACAGACTTTTCCGTAGCAGATAAATTCCTGTTTCTAAAACCCCTGTGGTTTTTTGTTTCACATGCCGGAGTCATTCGGTGCCCTTGGGTGCTGGGTGCTCACGACAGAGATCCTCGTCCTTGGCTGTGAGAATCGAGACAGTGCTGAACGGCTTGAAGCTGCGTTGAATTTAAGACTGAGAACATACTGGGTTCAGTGCTGGGGGAATTATCTAGAGAAAATGGATTTTTTTTTTTTTTTAAGCAAGGAAAACCACAAAAGAAAAAGAAGTGTGGAAAATCACACTTGTCCCTTTACCAAACCTCTTCAAGGCCTGCAGTTAGGGACAGGAAAGGAGGACACTTCACATGCTAATTATCTGGGGAGAAAATGCCCCTGAGGCCTTATTGTGAGCAGTGGGAGGCCACAGCTCCCCTCAGATCTCCTGTGAAGCCTGCAGACAGGTCCCAGCCACCGCCCTCCGCCCTCCACCCGGAAGGTCTTTCAGCCTCTATTGGAAGCTGTGTCAAGAAAGATTTTCTGGCTGTAGCTCTTTCTCTCACTTGAGAGGATTTTTTATTCCACTGTCCATGAACGTGTGAGGCATTTCCGGCGACAGTAATTAGGGCGGCAGGGAGCCTAATGGATGCCCAGGAGAACTGCTGAGTTTGTGGATGGAGCCCGGGGTGGGCGAGAAGAAGGAACCTGAGGCTCCAGAATCTCCGTCCCGTGACTTTGGGGTGGAAAGGGCGTCCGGCTCCGCGACCTTCGGTGCAAGGGTGTGGCACGAGCCATCCTTACCTCCTGACTTTGCGTGACTCCAGGTGAGAGAGCCTGGGCAAGACAGTACCGCGTCCTTGATCGGGTCACCCCAGGGCGCCCGGGGCCCGTGGTGGTGAGACCACGGTGGACCCCGGAGACACGCTGACCTTGGGGTGACCAGCCCAAACCAGGAAAGCATGAGCCTCTCGGGGCAATGATCATGTTGTCCCCAAAGCACTGCAAAGACGCAAGATGTCCTCTGAGGACACCAGGAACTCATTGCTCATTTAATTTATGCAAAATCCCAGTTCTTTGCAAGTGTTATGTTCTAGCGAACATCACAGCGTTGGACAGGAAGGCTGTATGGAGTCTCAGTGCACGAAACCTCAGCACTGAGCCTGCGTCCAGGGAGTGCGGCTTCCGGGAGAAAAGCGCGGTCGCTCGCTGCTCTTCTCTCAGCCGCTACTTTTCTTGCCTCCTCCTCACCCATCTGGGAGTCTGTCCTTTATCCCTCCGTACAGACGGTTGACATTTTATGGGACTCTCAGCAGGTGAGATTAGAAATCTATCCCCTGCCAACTGTTTTCTACGCGTCCCCCCTTTCTATTTCCTCCTTTTCTATTTCTTTTGCCTGCCTGCTCTGGGATTAATTAGCTGTTTTTGTATCTACATTGTTGTTTTTGTTTTTGTTTTTTTCCCCTCGCTTGTCTTGTTCTGTATCTCTTTCCAAACTCACATAGTGATTGCTCTGGAATGTAAAATCTACATCCTTAGTGAATTACAGCTTCTCTTGAAGTGCAGCCCGTGCATAACGTGAGAACTTCACCAACAGATGCTTCCGGCGCCTCCCTCCCACCTTTCGTGCCATCGGGGCCGTTCACTTCACTCTTACCCACGTTACAAGTCCCGAGAAGACGCGGCTCTTGTAGCTTTAAACAGTCAACTCTATTTGAGAGTGAGTCGAAACAAGGAAAGAAATAGATCTACCTTCATGTGAACCGTGTCTGGAAATCATTTCTCCGCGTAGACGTGCGGTTTGGGTGTCCACTGGACAGCACATTCCCCCAGCATCTCTCGTAGTCCGGGTCTGCTAGTAATGAATTCTCTGCATTTTCATCTTCCGGAAGACATCTTTATGATGCTTCCCCAGGACAAGAACCCCGGGACGATAGGTTTTCCCATCGGTACTTTAAACATATCATACTCCATTGCCTTCTGGCTCACGAGAAGGCCGTTGCAATTCTCTCCTTCGTGTATCTGTCTGTCCGTATTGAACTTGTCTGGGCATCGGCACCAGCCAAGCCCTCCGTCCTCTGGCCGCTGGCGACTCATTAGGAAGTTTAGCTGAGTTTCCCTTACCCGGCTGTACGGTGTCCCCGATGGTGCTGCCCTGCTGTGTCACCGGTGAGCTGGCCCTCACACTCTGACCCGTCAAGAGGCCCCTCTTTTCTTAACGTTCCAGACCACCGGGTTGTCCTGTCGACCTCGGCTTTCTGTGGGCTCAAGGAAAGTTAAGATTTTGTAGTTAGTTCAGCTTTTTCTCATTCCTGGATGTGAGCTTCTTCCCAGCTTTCTGCATCCTAGGCACCGCGACCCCCCTGGGCGCTTTTAATCCACAAATGCTGAGTGGGGAACGGGACCGTGGACTCGGTGGCTGGTGGAGGGAGGGTCTGAGGTCTAGCGCAGCCAGGGTCCGGAGCAGATGGGAAGGGAGTGTGACCTGTAGAGCCCAGTTGAGGGGCTTGGGCAAATTTTATGCGTTTTTATTTCTGCCTAACGAGATGAGCCTTCCAAGAGGAGAATAATGAGAGATCACGATGATCTTTCAACAGGACCATGTTCTGTTCCCACATGTTCTGGGCCAGGAGACTGTGGTCTTTGTTTCTTTACCTTGAGCCAAAAGATCCTTTCAGCTTCTGTGTCTTGTTTCTGAAACAAGCAACCTTCCTTTGCAGAAAGTTGGGTGTCACCCCCAGGGTGCTAGTCCCCTCCTTCGAGGCCGCCGGGGTTCTCATCCTCCACCGGCTCGCCAGGTCACATCACTGCCTTTTCCGCAACACTTCTGATTCCCCCATTACCTACTGTATACGTGATCAACCACTGGGTTCGGCACAGGAGGTGATGCCCAAAGCAACCGAATCCACTTCCTCGGCCACACTGCCCCTGTGCACCCCATGTTTCACCACGCTCACTGTTTTCTCACAGTGCGCCAGAGATTTCGTAAACACCAGACCTTGCGTGCTCCATTTTCTGGGTGGAGAGTGCCTTTCTCAAGGCCCGTCCTTTTGGACTTAGTCCACATGCCTCCTGACTTGAAGGCTTCCGCGCTTTCCCAGGATGGAGTCTGCCCCGTGAGTCTCCCGCTCCAGGGAGCGATTTGCCTGTATCTGTCAAATGAGTATCTCCCCTAGAATGTGACTTCCTGGAAGGCAGGCCATTTGGCACGTATATAGCTGGTCAATAACAGAAAGACAGCAAGAGTGGAAAATCTTAAAAATGGTGGTCCCGTAACAGACCAAGAGAGATTTAGCCTCCAAATGAATGAATAATCCATATGGGAAGGGATGACTTTTTTTTTTTTTTTCGATACGAAGGATAAATGGGCTTGAAACATAGTGGTGTCTAAAGGGGGAGGGGCTTCTAGATGAAACCTTGCCTGAGTCTCACACGCCAAGTAACCAAAAAACAAACCAGAGAAAGCTTTCATTAGCTATTTATCTCGGGATTCCTGGGAAAGCGTCACCCGTGGAATGAGATGATCCAGTCCACTTCTCTGCCTATACCTTAAAGAATTCTCCAGAAGAAAATGAGAAATAGCCTAGTTCTTTTTCTTTGTGATGCCACTATTAGCCTCCGAAAACATTCATCACACTTCGCTCTTCTCGATGGCGTAATTGCCTGTGAATCATGAATGGCAGCTCAGGGTGTCTTTCTCTTCTCTTCTCCCTACTGTGCTCCTGCTGTTTGCCCTGCTGTCCTCCACGACCGCCCGGGAACAGTGCCTACCGCACCCCCCCAGAATGTGCAGACGGACGCCGTGAATTCCACAACCATCCAGTTCCTGTGGAACCCTCCACCTCAGCAGTTCATCAATGGCATCAACCAGGGATACAAGGTACCCGGACCTAGCTCAGAACCCTGGGTGGCTGTCGTGCCGTGTTATGGTCTTGTGGGCTGCCCACCCCTCATCTCATCAAGAACCCATTGCACCAAGCTACAGTGTATGTCGACCTTGGTCGGGGCTGGGGGGTGGTCAGCATTTATCCAAGGTCTTATCACTTCTTCTGGTTCAGGAACTCAAATTATTGTTAGTTTTCAAGAGGACGTTTCAGATGCAACAGAGTAATTTCTTTTGAAAAAAGCCATTCGTTTTAAAATTACCAGTGGAAAACCTATCTCGATTGATTAGAATCAGCATTTGTACAAACCACTTCTTCCCGGCAAGGAGTCCTCTCAGAAGAACAAAGGGCACTGGACGCAAGTGAATGATATTTCTATCCAGTAAGGGCATTGATTCCTTCCCCCTCTGGATTTAAGGGAGAGTTCTGTTTATAGAACCGAGACCAGAGAATTTAGGACACCTACCTGGACTGAAGTAGAGACACAGACCGATCCCCACCATCCAACCTCCTTCTGTCCTTAGCTACCAGAATATATTACCTTCACAGGTGTATTTGGACATAACTTCCCAAAGTATAGTTCATCTTGCCGACTAGATCAGCTTCTAGCTGGCCCGGGGTCCTGTGTTAATTTTACCTACAACGTATTCACGGGTGTTCTGCATTAGAAGGTAGACTTACGGAAGATCTTCATGGGGAAGGGACTCCACCTAGTCCACTCGAATTCTTGGTAATTTCAGATTCGGAGGGTATTAGTTCCTTAGACACATGGTTCCCTTTTTTTCCCCATTTGGATTCAACTTACAAAAACACTTTTTGGTTTTCACTACGTGGCAGATGTAGCTAGAAATTTGTCCTGCCTTTTCTTCTTTTCTTTTTTTCTTTTTTTTTTCTTTTCTTTTTTCTCTTCTTTTCTTTTCTTTTTGATTCCCCAGAAGAATCTACAGTCAGAAGCTTTTTTGAAAGAAAATCATAATGGTCAGATCAACCAAGATGATTTTGCCTTCTTGGCTTTCCTGTCAGGTCTTATTGGCAAGACCAGAGCATTCATTCGATGGCTCGACGTCGGTTTGATCTCTATAAATACGCTTTGTGTCCCGAGGCATGTCAGCCTTCAGACCTAATTAGCCCTGCAAATGTTTGGCGTCACAGGAATTAGAAGTCCCACTCATACATGATGTTGCCCGCATGTGAAAACAACATCCCTTAGAATATGTAGATGCCCTATTTTTCTTTAAAACTGTAATCAACCTCCTAAAATTCTTTTCAGAAAAGCAGTGTGACATAAATCACAAATAATTAAGATTCATTCCCATTGAATCAGGGGGCTTCTTTTTGAGCCAGAGTAGGTGACTATCTGGAAAAAAATATTTGTGTCCGTGTTTCGTTGTACTGATTAAGTTGAAGAAAGATGGTGTTGTCTTTATTGCTTAGTGTCTGAAAACACGTACATCCCGCATCATCTTTAAGTGAAGCGTAAGTGAAAGTTTGAGGAATGTCGGTTATTTCAAATTGAGTTAAAGTAGAGATTTTACTTATACGGACATGTATCAAATACATACAACTATATGATCTCAACAATCTACGAGATGTCTCTTAAAGTCAGTATGTTTAAGTGGGACTCTAAAACGTTAGACTTACAGAGTTTCTTGATGGTGACGTGGCTTTCTTTGAAGTTACGTCAACCACAAAATAAGATTCTGATACAGACTTGAGAGTGAAGACATACAATTAAAAAGGATTTCTTTCTCACCCTGTCCCGTCCCAGCTTCTGGCATGGCCCGCAGAGATCCCGGAGGCCATCACTGTGGTCACCATTGCACCAGATTTCCATGGAGCCCACCATGGGTATATAACGAACCTGAAGAAGTTCACTGCCTACTTCACGTCAGTCCTGTGTTTCACCACTCCGGGGGACGGGCCTCCAAGCACGCCTCAGCTCGTACGGACTCATGAGGACAGTGAGTACCCATCTTTCGTGGTCGCACCAGCAGCCAAAGTCAGCCCTCCAGGAGGCCCAACCGCTGTCTCCTCCGGCGCTGGGCGGGGCCCACGGAGGGTCATCAGGAACCTCCATGTCCTCAGTGTTCGGGGTGCGTGTGCTCTAGGGAGATAGTCAGTGGAAAGTAATGGTAATGAGTGGTGGAAGGCGGTCCCTGGGATTGGAAGCCTGGCAGGCGGACAGAGCTCAGAGGGAAAAAGAAACAGTCTGGTCTCAGCCCTGTGGTCAGCCTTTCATCTTGCTGGTCCTCTCTTCCCCCAGACTTATCTTCTAGAATGCCCTGCCAGGCCTCCCAGCCTGCGTCTTCCCTGACGCTCCCCGGGGCATCTCCCCCTGGGCCCCTCTGAGCACCTTGACTCGGTGTTGTCTCTATCCAGTCAGTTCACACCAGCTCCTGCTCTGCCCTCAGACCAGATGACACTGCGGAAGGCATTATATGGAGAAGTCACCTGAGAAAATGACCACACGTGTGCACAAAGACACCGACCTAGGGAGGCTCACTGCAGTTATTTGCAACTACCAAAAAAAAAAAAAGAAGAAAAACATTCAGATATTCCAGAGGGGTGTAATTGAAAAACTTATGCAATGACAATATACTAAATATTTCGTCAGTATTAAAAAAAAAAGTTTAGAGAGAAAACGGTCATGATCTAATGATAAGTGAAAAAATAATATACAAAACGGTATGAGATCCAAATTTTATAAAAACATTGCATAAAACTTGTATTAACACTCCATGAGATAAGAAAAGACCTTGAAGAAAATACGTCACATTTTTTTTTTTAATGTTTTATTTATTTTTGAGACAGAGAGAGACAGAGCATGAACGGGGGAGGGTCAGAGAGAGAGGGAGACACAGAATCCGAAGCAGGCTCCAGGCTCTGAGGTGTCAGCACAGAGCCCGACGCGGGGCTCGAACTCACGGACCGCGAGATCGTGACCTGAGCCGTAGTGGGACGCTTAACAGACTGAGCCACCCAATATGTCACATTTTTGCCGGTTATTATCTCTATGTGGTGTGATTAGCAGTTTATTTTACATTTTTGTTTGGATTTTGCCGCATATCTCATTTCTACAGTGGGTGTGTCCTCTGTTTATAAGGACAGTTGAAACTAGTAGACATTTAAGACAGTGTCACCCAGGGCTGCCACTCGTCTGTCCTCCAGCTCAGGGTGTGGCCGGCCCCCTATTCCACCGATGACCCCGATGGGCAGTGTGGTGGTGGGGTTCTGACCTCCCTGCTCCCTGTGACCTCAGCCTCTGCAGTGCTCAGAGGCAGCATTTATAGGGGTCAAGGCTGTCCAAAATGAGCTTCCTCCTCCTAGCTGCCACCTCAGAATCCTTCTGTTCACACCCCAGTTCTTCTCTCGGAGGATGAAGAGTCTGACCATTTCTCAGATCTCCCTCATCCCTCCCTGACTGCCCTGACCTGCTGAGCTCCCAGTGAGCTCATTTCCTTCCCAGATAAATGATTACTTGGGCCCCTAACCTGTCACACTCTCCGTAACCCGGCTCTTGCTCCACCCAGTGACTGTGACTACCTTGCCCTCTGCAGGTGCCTCGACTGCATGGAGTGATAGGATTATGGGATTTGTCTTTTCAGCGAGTGGACAGATAACGGTGGATTGATTTGCAAATGTTGAGCCAGGCTTACACACTTGGAGTAAATCCCACTTGGTCACAGTTTGTAATTATTTTTTATGTTGTTGGATTCTGTTTGCTGATACTTTGTGGGTGATGTTTTTACATCCAAGTTGATGAGAGATACTGGTCTGCAGTTTTATTTTCCTGTACTTAATGTCTGCCTGGTTTTGGTGTCAGGGAAATGTGGGCCTCATGAAATAAAATTGGTTGTGTTCTCCCCCTCTTCCACTTTCTAGAAGCAATTGCATAAAATTGGTGTCAATCCTTCTTTAAATGTTTGGTAGCATTTTCCAGTGAAATCCTCTGGGCCTAGAAATTTCTTTTGGGGGAGCGTTTCAGTTTCTCCCATGGTTATACTACTGTTCAGTCGTCTGTTTAATCTTGGCTTGGTGTCATTATCTGTGATTTTCACGTGTGTGGATGTCACACTCCTGGCAGTAGTCCCTTCTTCATGGCTGCAGGATATGTCATTGTGTTCCTTGTTCATTTATGATAGCGGTGTTCTCCTTTTATATTTCTGTCATTCTTCCTAGAGATTTATCAATTTTGTTGATTTTTTTCTTGAGGAACCAACTTCTTGTTTCATCAAGTTTTCTCTAATGTTTTCCTATTTTTGGTTTCGTTGATTTCTGCTGCTAATATTTCCTTCCTTCTGCTTGCTTTGGGTTTATTTTTTGATCTTTTTTTTAAAATTTCTTGATGTGGGTACTTAAACTATGGATTTAAACTCATTTCTATTATAAACAGTTGGTGCTATAAATTTTCCTCCCCACGCTGCTTTAGCTGCATCCCACATACTTTGATATATCGTGTTCATATTTTGCTATAGTGTGTTTCATTTTCATTCAGTTCTATGTATTCTTATTCCTTTTGAGACTTCCTCTTTGGCCCACGAATTATTTAGAAGTGTACTATTTAGTTTCCTTGTGTTTGGAGATTTTCCTGTTGCCTTTCTGCTACTGATTTCTAGCTAGATTCCATTATGGCCAGAAGGCACACTTTGTACAATTTCAATTCCTTTAAATTCATTGAAGTTTGCTTTATGGCACAGCACACGGTCAGTCTTGGTAAATGTTTCATCGCAAGTGCTTGGAAAGAATAATGTGCATTCTTCTGTGGAACCTGCTTTTCAGCTGCGAATGTTATGCAGCCCGCCCCCCCCCCCCCCCCCCCCCCGCCCTCAGAGTTTAGGATTAAAGGAGAACGTTGATCACATTTAGCTCTTTCATTTAAAAAAAGGATGTGTGCCTATCTCATCAAGTCTTGTTCCTACTGTAATTATATCCTAATTAAATGCTGACTGACTGGTTCATTCATCCATCTGTCCCACACAGAAACAAGTCTGCACACTTAACATTCACGTGTCTGTGGAATGCCCGCCATGTGCAAGGTAGCCAGCTGGGTGTCACAAGGGTTAAAAAGATAAGTCAGCACAGCCTCTGCCTTTGGAGCTTACGGCCTAATAGGACACGAGGGATGTGGCTGAGGCCAGTGCCACTGAGGAGGGAGGTCTGGAGAAAGGGCTGCAGCCGCCCAGCAAAGAGGGACAGAAAATAGGTGGGGTGTGGGGTAAGTCTTGTGGAGGAAGTGACAGTTTGACAGCTGAGCTTCTCATGCAGAGAATGGCCGAGGCCACTCCAGGGAGGAGAAATAGAACTGACAGTGGTAAGGAGAGTGTGCGAGTGTGACAGGGTATGACGTGTTGGGTGTGGCTGCAGTGCAGCACGGGGCGGGGGTGGCGGAGGGAATGAGCTGGGAAAACTAGCTGGGAGCTGACCCAGAAGAGTCTCGACCACTAAGTTCAGGCACTTGGACAAAGACATTCTGGGTATTGGGGAACCATAGGAGGTTCTCCATTAGGGGTGCTATTTGAACAGATCTGTAGTTCTAGAAGCTCTGTCTGGGGGTTTTGTGATGGTTGGACTGGAGGTACGGGTGAAGGATGCTGGGAAGAAGGCACGAAATTACAAGAGCCCACCTCCAGGCTGTGGAGACAAGGGGCAATGGATCCTGAAGACGTGTCACAGGGAGTTTGGGTGCTCATTAATGCAGGGGGACTCGTTAATAGAGGGGTGGAAAGAATCACCCAGGATGGCCTAACATGCTGAGTTTATGTGACTGTCGATGAAGAAGCCAGCAGTGAAGATGTGGAAAAGTGGTCTGGGGTGAGGACGCGGGGCTGGACTGGGACACACCGGGTGTGCAGTGGCTGTGGGGCATCTGGGCCCATGTGGCCGATGGGCAGCGGAGGGGCATCTGAAGTGGACTGGGGAGGGCTGGCAGTTCGCAATTGTGACCTTACTTTCCGAGAAGGAGTTAGGGAAGGTAACTGAATATGTGGTCTAAGCACAGATGGAAGCATTTGAAATCAGTTCTACCCCAGGGTGTCTGTGCTGTAAGATCCCAGGCAGTTAAAGCCACCTAAGCACATGAAGTCACTCTAAGGATCGGGTGGGCAGATCGTGGGGCGGGGGTTAAGACGGGGGGAAGCCACTGGGCTCTAGCCCAGTCACGCGGGACCTGCAGGTTTGGAGACTGAGGGTACAGAGGGGGCATGCAGGGGACCCGTGTGGGGTCTCAGAGAAGGAGGCAGCCTTGCCTGGATGAATGGTACTTTCTGCACTCGTGTAGGAAAGCACAGCCCCTCACGTCTGTAGACAGTGTGGTGGGGGGAGCTAGTGGGGGACACACTTTACGAGAATCCCCCTTGTAGCTCTCCATTATGTGCGTGTTTTCATTCTTTGGCCGAAGAGGCAAGGCACTGTCTCTGCTCAAGCCGCAGCCAGGTCCAGCTGGGTAGCAGACCTCTCTTCCCAGAGAATATTCATTAAAAACACAAAGTGGCGGGGGTGCCTGGGGGGCTCAGTCGGTTGGGCATCCGACTTTGGCTCAGGTCACGATCTCATGGTTCACAAGTTCACGCCCCGCGTTGGGCTCTGTGCTGACAGCTCGGAGCCTGGAGCTGCTTCGGGTTCTGTGTCTCCCTCTCTCTCTGCCCCTCCCCCCTCATGCTCTGTCTCTCTCAAAAATAAATTTAAAAACATTTTGTAAAAAAACCACAAAGCGGCAGAAGATGACTCCTTTCAAACAAGAGAGAAAATTCCTGGCTCGATTCTTCACTAAAAAAAAAAAAAAAAAAAAAAAAAAAAAAAAAAAAAAAAAAAGCCCAATTGTTGCTGGTTAGTGGACAGAAATGGTGGGGAAACATCCCATTAAGCTCTGTGGCCAGGAAATAGAACACGAAATGCCCTTAGACCCACCATTAGTAGGTAAAAAGAAAAATTGGACATTTCTTTCTTGGGAATTGAGAAAACTGGAAGTGATACCATCTTTTGAGAGTTTTTTAATGGAGTCTCAATTTTTTGGGGGGAGGCAGGCAAGGAGCCTGTTTTTCCTGTTCAGAATGTGGACTGTCTCACGGAAAGGTGGTGGTCGGGTGCTAGCCTGGCCCCATGGGGGCCGTAGGGACAGCCTCCCTTGCTCTCTGGCTGACGGCACCTCCCTTAGCTCAGCAGCCAGCAGGCCCCCTTCCACAAAGCTCCCACGCGATGGGAACTCGGGGGCTGGGGAGGGGAGGGTGGGCAACACAGTAAAGAGGAAACAGAATATAAATTTTAAGCCCAGACATTGCCAGCTGCTTCCAGCAGAGCTGGAGGACAGCATATTTGGGCAGGAATCCAAGAAGCAGAAACACTGAGAATATAAAAGGAGCAAAAAGCTTTCTTTGCTGCTCTATCGATTGAAAAAAAAAGAAGTCAGTTCAAAAATCCATCAGAATGTCTTTCTGGAAACTCAAAACCGGAGGAAGATGAGCGCGTTTCGACAACCGTTCTATTTTACCGTCTTCCCTGCTCAGAGAGTGGCATTTGTCAGTGTTTGAGCTTATCCGTAAAAAGTCTTTTGAAAGTTCCACCCAGATAAGTGTATCTGCCGAGGCTGTTGCCATTTTTTTTTTTTTTTTTTTCAAATTACAAGTTGTGTTAGGAAGCTTTGTCCAGGTACCAGCCGAGCACCGCGTTCTGAATCTGCCGTCTGCAACCGAGGCTGGCCGTAGCCGGCACGGGGGTGAGGCTTCTCCGAAGGAAGCCTCCTCTGCTCTCTGGCCGGACGGCCAACACGCGTCACCCATGACTTCGCGCTCTCCTATTTTAAGCTTGACATACTGCACTGTGTTATTACTAGAAAGATCTCAGTGTGGCACGTTCGGGGTCTGACTGGAGGAGCCATGTGGGGCAGAGAGCTCAGTAGGAACCGCCTTATCCCCCCCCCCCCCCGCCCGGGGGTGGGGGCCTGTGCTGGGGGACTGGGTTCCTCAGCTCCTCCCGGATCCCCTCCTGTTTCTCCGGGCCTTGCGTGCCACAGCCCCTGCAGAGCGGGCGAGGGGTCCCTGGCCCTGAGGGTCCATGACCGTGGATCGTTCACCTCACGCTGGGCTCCGGGACTTCTTGTCTGGGTGCCTGTCACAAATGACTGTCGGGATACTAGGACGACGCAGAGCTGAGAATAGCGGCCGGTGTCAGGCAGCATTTCTGTGCCGGGGCCCTGCAAGCTGCTCTCCTTGTTTTATTCAGCTTTATTCTCACATTTGCCTGGCCCAGGGAGTTATTTTTATTGTCCCCGTTGTGCAGAGAAGCAAACGAAGACTAGAGAGTGTGAGGAACTGCGGCGGGGACGGGCCTCGAGTCCGGCCGGCTGCCCGTTAAGCCGCTGTTCCACCCCGCGACCCTCTGGTGTCAGGAGAAGGGTTGCACAGGGCAGGGCCCCTCACAGGCCGGATGCCCGGGGGCCAGGGGCTGCTTGTCGGGACCCAGCCAGCCTGGTGGTTCTCATTAGATCAGATCGAGGAGAAGGAGAGTGAAGTGTGGCATTCTCCCTCGGCCCGTTGCTTGGGTTCTCGGCGTGGCTGGGACGAAGCTGAGCAAAATAATGCACGTGCCCAGAGCGCAGACACCTTCCACCTCGAAATCCCTCACCCCCGCAGGATTTGTACTGGCGTTTCCTTCGGCTCTGGCCTGCGGGCTGCCCTTGCCGGGTTAGAACTTTCCACACAAATCTGACCCAAAGAGAAGGGACTCTTGTGCTAACAGGCGACTTTGTTTTTAACTTATTTTTAGAACCAGGAGCTGTGGGACATCTGAGTTTCACGGAGATTCTGGACACATCCCTCAAGGTCAGCTGGCAGGAGCCTCTGGAAAAAAATGGCATTATTACAGGTTAGTGTCCCTGTCTTCTGAAAAAGGAAATGCAGACTGTGTCCCAGCAAGGAGATGGCCTGGTCATACCCCGCACAGCCCTCCGGGTAGACGTGCACTGGCGGCCTCTTTGGGTAGCGGACGTGTCCACCTGGCCATCGGCAGAGGGCAGAGGGCTTGGTCGCCACGCCCGAGATCGTGCCCCTGGGGCCCCACGTCCTTTGGGGTATTTCTCTGTGGGCCACAGCTTTCGAGTCAGAGGCCAGGCCTCCGCGCGTTCTCTTAACGAACCTCTAGAGCCTTTGATCGGGGAGAATCGGCATTTTGTGGCACATCCCTTTACACACACCGTCCCCCTCGATCCTCGAGGCGATGCGGCAAAGTATGTGGCCGATATCATGACGGATTCTCAGAGGACGCTGAGGCCCAGAGGGCCCTCCTTCAGCAGGCATGCACCACACGTCCACTGCGTGCGGACCCTTTGCTGAAACGCTGCGATCCGGCAGCGGCCAGGGCCCCGGGAGCCCCACGGGGAGGCCTGGGTGTCCTGGCTCGGGCTCCTTGCCCCTGGCCCTCCGTACAGGGCCTTCGGGGGACCCCGGCTGACCGGGGCGGCCAGCCTGCCCCGCCCTCAGACAGGCTCCTCTCTGACTTCAGGCGTCTCTGGGGAGCGGTTTGTCTTTTGTAGGGCTTTGATGATTTTTTTTCGTATAGAAGAGGCTTCACCTTTTAGGTTCAGGCTTAATTTAAATCTTGGCTTGAAAAAACAGTTCTGGGTTTGGTTAACAGCCATGCAGGCTTCGGCCTCAGGTAAAGGTGGGAAGGACCGTGTCCCACTGTTGCAGGGGCTCTGAGGGCTTCAGTTCACCTCTCAGACCCTCCGTTTCTTTGTCTGGACAGTGGTACAGCCCTCGTGGGGCCGTAGGGACGAGGCCCCGTGCGGCTGCGCGCAGCACCATCCAAAGCTGCGGCCGCCAGCGGCCCCTTCCGTTTACTGAGCGCTTTGTGAAATGTCAAGCCAGCCACTCGTGTCCCCACAGCGCGGCCACGCGCCCTGGGACTCTGCCTGTGGCATCTCCTGTCATGTCTGGGGCTCCTGCCTCGGCCCTCTGAGCCTGGACCCGGAGGCCTCAGGGGGACCCAGCTCCTGAGCGAGTGGCGTCCATCCTCCCTGTGCATCTGTGACAAACCTGTCCCTCAGCGGATAATTCTGACGAACCTGGAGCGTGTTGCCCCTCAGCGGATAATTCTGTAGCCTGACCGCCTGCAGAAGCCCACGGAGGCCCTCCTGTGCCCGACACTCCAGAAGCCCACTCATGCTAGCCGCGCACTGGAGAGACCAGGAGTGACGTCCGTCCCCGCTGCCCGGCCTCGGGGCCACGTCCTAGACAACAGCAGTGGCGACCCCGGGCACTTACCACAGGCAGGCACCTCAGCATTGCAGGATCCTGTTTAGTTTGGAACCAGCACACAGAGCACCTCTCACAACCCCTGTCTGAGACCCTGGTGTCGACGTCCCAGGGTCACGTGGCCGGCACGGGGGGACAAGCGTCTGTGTTCTAGCCTCTCCCTCCTCTGTGTGACGGCGGTGGGGTTCACACCATGTTCCCAACCCCGACCCAGGGGCTCCCATCTTCCTGGGGTCATGGGCTCCCACCAAGTGTCTCCACACACCTGGCAGCTCTCTGGATGAGGTCACTTGGTGCAAAAAACTTAATTATATGCAAACGACTCAACAGCTGAATTTGAAATTAATGGAAGCCTACCTGCCTCTGTATCGCCGACACCACCAGAAACCCAGCTCTGCAAAGACAGGATGTGGGCAAAGGCGTGTGGCATGCCGTGCTCCTGAAATTGAGAACCGTGGTCCCCTGTGGACACAGGTGGGAGGCACCCAGCATCACTGTGTCCTCGCGCTGTTTCTGGGGCTCCAGGCAGTGTCCCGGGTGCCCTAAGGCATAGCCTGGGGACTGCCTTCCTACCCTAAACTCCTCTGTTCCCTTCCGTTAGTCGGGAAACTTCCTGGTGCCAACCTCTCCTGCTTGTCCACAAAACACTACCTTGTCTCCTGAGCTCGGCCAGAGGCCCCTATAGACCGGTGTGCTTAGACCACGCCCCAGAGGGCACACGGGCCCCGATGCGGCCTCTAACCCTGACTTTCGACCAGGGTACATCTGTGGGTCTGGTTCTGCCCTCGGAGCTAACGTTTTGAAATGCCTCCTGTCAGCAACGTTGTCACTCCAGGAAAAGGGAAGAGTCACTATTGAAATTGGACAGCAGGGCCCAGATCCGTTGTGTATCCGGCAGTCCCCTCAGCATCCATCAGATCGCAGGTGTGACTGCGAAACGACAAAGGCCTCCTGCTGCCTAGAGCGAAGAAACTGAACAGAGTGTGGGTGGGCAGAGCAGGACCTCGTAGACAGCAGCAGCCGGTGTAGGTGAACTTTGTTTTCTGCCACACAGAGGGAGGAAAAAGCAAAGCAAGCAGGGCCGGGGAGAAGCGCACAGAGGACGACTGCCCTCGGAAGCAAAGGGCGTCCGGCTCAGATCCCTCAGGGTCGGCTCCAGTCCTGTGGCCGGAACGAGGCTGTGCTCAGCGCCAACTTCAGAGACGAGGCGTCCACATCTGCGTGCTTGGGCCCCGTGACCACCGTGTCTCAGAAGTCTGGCCAGGGCTCCGTGGTGGACCCGTATGGACCCGGAGACTTCCCTTCCGACAGAGACACAGTTGGCCCCCGCCCCGTCCTCTGTGAACGCACCCCACACCTCGCTCCTGGTGTAAATCTTCCGGCGGGCGCACGAAGTCACCGAGCAGAGCCGGCGTCCCCGGCTGAGCCGTGGTTGCCAGTACTCGCGATTTACGATCATCTGTTCTCGCCAGCTAATAGGGCTTAACGAACTCATTTTCGTATTTTATTTAAATAGATACCTGTGGTTACACGCAGCAGCCTCGTGTTGTTCAGCACGGAGCTTGGCCATCGGAGCTCCTGGCTGCTGGCGTCCTGGTGCTTTCTGGCACCGCCGTGACCTCAGAGCCACGGGCGGACGCCCCGCTTCCCCTGTCAGCCACGTGGTCCCCGTCTCGCTCTGTCTGGCTGCGCTGTCCCCTTTCCTACGCAAACTCTACAGCGTGCCCGGGTCCCTGCAGCTCTGGGGAGGCCTGCGGAGGAAGAGGGCCCAGCGGAGCCGAGGCCCGACAGCCGTGGTTTCCTTGGCCTCACTGCACGGGCCCCCCAGTCACCTCCCCGGTGACCCCTGCCTTCGGCGAGGCCCTCCCCGGCCCAGGCGGCGCTGCCCTGACAGGTCAGCACCCTCCCTCGACCGGGCTCCCGAGGGGGCGTGCCAGCAGCAACACAGAGTCTGCCCCGGGCTCCGGGGGGAGGATTTCGCCAAGTGCAGCAAAAGGAAAGCCTGGTTTGTGGGCAAACCCGGCCTCCAAAGCCACCCACCATCCTTCTGGAGGCTCCCTGTCAGTGCAGCTGCTACTGGGGCCGACGACAGCGGCACGGTGTGGTCCTCTGCGTGGGGCACTCGGTGGCCGAGACGCCCGGAGGAAGCCGTTCTTTATCCACCTCCCAGTCAATTCGCGGCCAGAAAGAGAAGGCAGCCCCGAGCAGGGGCGGCCTGCCCGCCGAGCAAATTGCCCATTGCGCTTATTGTAAATTCCAGCGTCTTCCACTCTCCCTGCGTAAACTCTGATTTATGAGGGCCAGGATGCAGACAGACAGCTTGTGATTGGATGTACTGCTCTCTTGTAGAGAATTTACTTCAGATCAACAGAAAATTATTTCTGAAGCTCCTGCGGCCGTTCGTCTCCGTTAGGCGGCATCCGGAGCAGGTAGGAGGCCCGCTGAAGGTGCCGGGCGCCGGAGAGGCGGCCCCTCCTGCCTCCTCTCGCGGCTGGAGCAGGTGAAACGCCCCCGGGCCAGAGCCGCCAGCCACAGCCGAGCTTTCCCGCGCCCTTCCTGAGCAGATGAGTGTCGTTCGGTTTCGTTTGCATCCGCAAGGGTCGTGGCCCACCCGGCGACCAGGTGTGATGTTGAAGGACTCCAACAAGGCCCCCCCACTGAGGACTCCAATCGGGTTTGGGCTCCAGGTTGCCATGACGAGCAACATGCCGTATTTCCGTGAAGTTTGACGAAGGACAGCTTTGAAACGGATAAAACTGTCTGACTGCCAAGCCCGTAGCATTTCGCGACGCCTCCTGCTGTATGTTCAGGGAAGACGCGGCCATCAGACTGCTCAGAGAAGTGCCAGGTGGAGCCAGGGTCAGGGCTTCGGCGACAGGGCCGTGCACGGGGGGGGGGGCTCTGTGGGGAAGCACGCAGCCCCGGGCCAGCCCTAGAAACCCTTGGCCGCTCCCAACAAGCCCACGGACCTCTCTGCCCCTTAGTTTTCCCCGCCATAAAGGGGGTAGCGACGGCTCTCACCCAGAAGGTCCTCTGTGAGGATTAGATGAACTGATGTGCTCAGGACGCCCCCGAACACCAGGAACTGTGTGTTTGAAGCCAGTGATTTGATTTTTAATCGTACAATTAGATCCAAATTCCGAACTGACAAAATGAAAAGAACGGGTCGGCCTGGCGCGCTGAGAAGGAAGGAGGCAGGATGTGGGGCGGGAGGTGAGGAGGGAGAGTCTGGGGTGTAGGGGGAGCAGGGCAGCCGGGTGGGGCGTCACCTGCGGGGCCCTGTGCAGGGGAGACTAGCGGGAGGCGGGCAGGCAGCCCACAGCCCAGATGGGTGTAGCAGAGCACAGGGGCCCGGGCGGAGGTGATGTACGCAGAGGCACCCAGCGGCCAGTGGCCGGGACCCCTCTGCTGCCCTCCTGCCCCGGATGCCTGATCGGCACCGCCCAGCTGGGGGGCCTGGTGTCTGTGCCCCAGAGCCCCCGGGCTGTGGGACTGCAGACAGGCAGCAGCTTCTGACATTAATTTTTTTTTCGAAATATTAAAGTCCCAAGATGCTCTCTAAATTCTTATTTACCTGCAAGCACAAGTTTCTAACTATATTTATTGCCTTCATCAGAATGAGCTTTAAGACTCCTCTCAGTGCTTCAGTGTCCCGAGTTTATTGACTGGAAAGACAGAAGAGCAAGCATTTTCGGTGGTTCCCCTCCCCGGGGGGCCCGGGAGCGCTCTCCATCACTGTCTCCCTCTTCAGGAGCCGCTCTTAAGGGTCCCTGATCACATAAACTCCCCTCCACGGGGGGCCGATTCAGGATCTTGCTGAGGCTTTGTTTCCCTGAGCCTAAAATCACGGTGGAATCCGAGGCTGACTAAACTGTAGTCTCGAGCCCCCCCACCGGCCCCCGCCCCAGATGGAACGGCGTCCAGGGGAAGGAGAAATTTCGCCAGGAAAACGGGAGGCTCAGAAGGTGGGGAGCAGTAGAAGTGGCGCCCGGGCCCAGAGGAACTTTTTAGGCAAAGCACTTTGTGCGGGAGAGAGCGTCGATCAATCATTTCATGAGGGAGAAAGTGGCAGTGTTTCCACAAATTAGTTGCAACCCAGGAGCTAGCTCCTGATTTAGAGCAGGGTATAATGAAAATACCAGCCTACGAAAATGGAAATATTGATGAAACGCATCCACGTTTTGACAAGAGTTGAAATCAGGCACAGCAGGCTGGCGGCCATCACTCTTCTCTCTGCCACCCACCCAGCTCGGGGGCTGAGGTCGCCAAACCCAGGCAGCCCTCTGGGTCTCGGCTGGGGGGGGGGGGGGGCCGGCGGGGAGCGCGGTGGGGCCCGGGGGGGGGGGGGCGGGTGGCGCTGGGCCACAGAAGAAGGGGCCCGACTCCGAGTTGGGTTTGGGCAGGCTGCGCGTCCTCCCGGCCCCCCGTGCTGTGGCGGATGTTCAGACACAGCGCATCTGACGTGCCCTCGGCTCCCGGGAGGCCCGGCTAACTCTGTTCTTGCTCCTAGGCTACCAGGTCTCCTGGGAGGTATACGGCAGGAACGGCTCCCGGCTCACCCACACCCTCAACAGCACGACTCGTGAATACAAAATTCAAGGACTGTCCTCGCTCACCACCTACACCATCGACGTGGCTGCCGTCACCGCGGCGGGGGCCGGCCTGGCGACCTCGTCCACCATTTCTTCCGGAGTGCCGCCAGGTCAGTAGAGCCCAGCTGCCGCTCGTCTGAGGACGTTGCCCTCAGAGAACGCCGACGCCCGGGGCTGAAGGCAGCTCCGTGTCCCGGCCGCCGGGGACCTTCAAGAGAGGGGTGTCCGCTTCCTGCCGGCGGTGGGGTGGGAAGCGGGCCCTGCGGCCTGAGTCAGCCCCGTCTGCCAGCGCCTGCTGTCGGGTGGGAGGGTGGGGCGTGGGGGGGATCCCCCCCCCCCGGGGAGCCAGCTGGCCGCGCGGTGCGGCCCTCCAGGGAGACGGTAGTCGGGGCCTGCAGGGAAGACGGTGAGAGATGTGGGTGTGGAAACCGAGAACAGGAAGCATGAAACTTCATTCCCCGAACTACACAATGGAGACTTGGGTGGAGATAAGACGAAGGAGTTGGAGGAGGTGGCAGGGGAGGAAAAGATCTTGCAGACAGAGGGAGAGGCAGACGCGTCCCCAGGCGCCGGGGACTCAATTATCTCCCCGAACATGCAGCACGCTCGCTCCAGCCTTGGAGAATGGCACTCAACTCTTTTCTCTCTAATCTTAAAGTTTCTGTTCAAAATACATGTTTTTCCTGGGAATTCACAAACACAAGTGAACGCGGGAAAGTGCTGTGGGCTCTCGGTTCGACTGTAATTCCAGCTGTCAGTCTCTGGCCACTCACAAGATGCCAGTTTGCCTCGTGTTGGCTGGTCTTCGAGGGTTAGTCCCTGAAGCCCCCTCTGAAGTCTGCACGTCCCCCCATCGTGCCCTCCGCCTCCCTCTGCCTCCCACTCCGTGTTCACACCCAGCCGCTTTCTTGGAAGGGGGACACGCGCAATCCGGAAGGGACGCAAAGCAAATAAAATGGATAGAGTAAAAAAAGAAATCCGCCCAGGAAACAGTGCATTCTCCTCACAGGGGCCACGTTCACGAGAGAGCTCGGCAGCCGCCACTCCCAGTTGGGTGCGATGAAGGAGGAGGGCACGGTGTCTCCTCTCCTCTGAGCAGTGTGACCTCGTAGGACGCTCTCTAGAGGCCAGTGGCCACCCGCTCTGCCAGCTGGGCAGGTGTCCCCAAGCCAGTCTCTGTCCCCAGATACATGATCACTGCACCCTCTCTCTGAGGTGGCGGGTCGGCACGGCCACCCACAGTGTATCCCAGGGACTTTTGGGGCCCGCGGATGCGGGGCGGGACTGGAGGATTTGCCTCTGCAGCAGGTGCTCAGGTGGTCGGGGACCACGCTTCCAGGCAGTCCGGTGTCTCTTAAAGGCGTTTACAAAATGAGTTTGCTTTTTGAAAGAGAGCGGTCTTTGACTGCCAGAAAGATTCGTTTCTTCGCCATCAACAGCCCGTTCCCACAGCACACGTTTAAGATACTGTTAACGCCCTAATAACCAGCGATGATGGCGGGACGCTGGATGTGTGAGAATTGTCTCACGCTCAGCGACGGACGGCGACTTGGGGAGCATCACCACATGTAACCAGGTCCCCCTGGGTCGGCTCGGGCACCTTACGGACCTCCGGAGGCACCACGGAGAGAGAACTCGCAGGGAGAGGGCCCCGCTGTGCCAAGTTAACCTTGGTGAACTCACCTGCAGCTGGACACGGGTCCAGGGCCTGGAGATCTGTCTGGAAGCAAACTCACACCCACCGTCACATCACGCTGGAGGACTGTGCTCCGCTTCCTGCACTTCAAGCTCACAGCCACTAAATGTCTGGAGCACCACATAAAGAGTCCAGCGAGCTGAGAAATACAAAGACAAGAGTCACTTGTCCTTCGATTTAAACATTTCCTGCTTCAGAGTCATGAAACTAGACACAGAAAGGACCCTTGAGGTCCTGAGGACCCTTCCTGTGCCAGTGCTGTCCTGACCGCTCACACGGCCTTACTGTCCCCATGCGCGTCCCGGTTTGCAGCCCCCTGCCCCCTCCCCGCCGGCGCGACATGTTCCTCGGACACGGCGCGGGCTGCCCACCGCCTCTGCTGCCTGCATGGCGTCCTTGTCGGCTTCACCCCATCCCCCTATCCTCCCCTTTTTTGCTGCCCAGATAAGAGCCCATATTTCAGACTCACGGTATCCCGCTTCTGAGCGGGACCGGCTCTCTGGGGGAGCAGCCTGCCCGAGGGTCTCCACTCGGTGAGTAGGCCAAAGACCCACCTAACCTCCCAGGGTGGGAGTGTGTCTCCCCCCCCCATTTCGTTGCTGGAGCAACTGAACTCAGAGTGGGGAGAGCCTTGCATTTTCACCCGAATGTGGTTGTCTTGGAAACCGGACCCGGGAGCCTAAGGCTCAGGACCCCGCGCACTTGGCAGCGATACACGGCACCTGCTGTCTTCCGCCCGCCCCGCTCCGCTTGCCCCGACTTCACGGTCCTCACCAGAGAGACGGTGGGTGTTTGGTCTCTGTGCTCTTTCTGGGGCCAGGAAGAATGACATCCGCTCACGCTTACTTCCCTCAGCCTGTAGCTGTTAATTACCGGCTGTGCACAGACACGAGTAAGTCCCACCTTCCGAGTTTATCGTCTGGGGCCGCGTGTGTCCTCGCCCCACTGCAGAGGCCGTGGGGCCTGATGGGCGGCCCTAGGAAAGTAAGGATCGTGCTGGGGTCACGTCCCGGGGAAGCAGTGCCTCTCGCTTAGGGGTATTGAAAGCAAATCTGGGCGTCTTGAGACCGTGTCCTTGCTGACACATTTGATGCGTTTCCTAAGCTCTCAGAACCTCGCCTGTCCATGTTTTCTGTCCTTTCTGTCTAGAGCTCCCTGGTGCCCCGTCCAACCTGGTCATTTCCAACATCAGCCCCCGCTCAGCCACACTTCAGTTCCGCCCCGGCTACGACGGGAAGACATCCATCTCCAGGTGGATCGTAGAGGGACAGGTACGCACTCGCGGAAGCGGACGGAGGGCTTTCCAGAGAGCCACACGGGGGCCTGCGTGTGGCGGTGGGAGACTCTGAAGAATGACCGGTCAGTAGCGCGGTGACCCTCGGGACAGCGGTTGGGGAGGTGGTCGTGTTTGCAGGACAAGAGACTGGAGACGACAGGCTGCTGGGGGCAGGATGTGGACGGACACGGGAGATAGGGACGTGAGCCTGCGGGCCACGGAAGGAGTGATTGCCAGTGCTCACATTCAAGTTTTGGCTCCAAACAGGTACCCAATTGGATAGCATCCTTGATTTATTTCTTTTTAATTCCATGTAACAATTAGCCACCAAATGTACGCGTGCGTGAATACGTGCCGTGAGGACAGCATGCTTGTCCCAGGCAGTAAAACGAAAAGGAGGGGTTTCTGTCTTGAGAGAAAGACGCTCAGGGTGCTGGGAAAGGAACGTGCACATCGCAGTGGAGGACCCAGCAGGGAGGCCTGAGGGCAGGTCCCACGGGGTCCCGGAGACGGGGGTAGTGCCACACAGGCCACGTGTCCCAGCAAGAACAGGAGGTAAAAAGCTAAAGAGACAAGCGATGGGAACAGCAACGTCTCCGGACCGTTCTTGTCTGCAGGAACGTCCCAGCGACACTCATAGCTGTGCTTCTGCCCTCTTGCGAGATAAGTCACTCCTGCAAATTGGCCGTCGATCAGGGAACAGATTCCATTCAGATCCTCCAAGCTTTCGCTAAGCAACTATTTCCGAAAACCTCTGCAGGATTCTGGAAGCCCAAACCTGCTCGTCGGGACTCATCGATAAATGAGACCACAACAATTATTTCCTTAGGAAATAAAGTCCCCCCCCCCCCCCACGTCAAGTTGAAAATAGCAGGTCCCCAGTGAATGGGAATCAAGATGATGAAAGCGAACTTTAAAATACGCAGAAGAAATTATGGGAGAAAATCACTCTATCTCATGAAAACCAATTCTAGGTCTCAAGGTCCCTCAGAAATAGCTGGGCAAGGCCTGCGGGAGCACGTGGTGCCCTCTGTATCACTGCCCACGGGAGGGCTGCACCCCGGGGATGCCACGGATGCAGGTCTCCCAGCTTTAGGCCTGCGCGTGAGGCTCGGCGGGGCCACAGGGATGTGGTGGCTCACCGGACGGAGGCTTCGCTTCATGCCTCTGGGGCCAGCGGGGATCACAGTGCTCTGTCCATATTCTGTCTACCAGAATTCAGTCGCATGGCTCCAGTTTAACGTGAGGGGGTCTGGGACGGCTCTCGGTGTGCCCGAGAGGAGGAAATGATGTGGTGGACACAGAGCAGTTTCTCTGCCACAGGACATTTGCTCAGTACTGCTGTCCCACGACCACGTCTTTAATTTTAACATAAAAAATTTTAAACATACCGGAGAGGAAAGACGGTAACACAGTGAACTCCCATATACCCATGACCTAGACTCATCTGTTCTATTACCTAGATTCATCTAGTCCCCCTCTTTATTGTTGCTGAGCTAGGGTTTTTTTAATGCTTTTATGTCATAAAATGCAGCTATGAAAAATAATGGTAAAGATTATGTTTGTTGACTTACTGACATAGAAAGGTGTTCCCGTACATATTATTTAATGTAAACGAGCAGATCAAAGGTAGTAGGAGTTGTATTGTGTGAAGTCATTTATGCAGAATTATGTGGTCATGTTTGTGTATGGAATGGTAATGTTCGCAGCTAATCTGGTTAGGCAGTTTGACTTCTTTATATACCCATAGATACACATATACATAATTACACACACATACACACGCACACATCTATCCATTATCATCACTCCCCCCCACCAGTTTCATTGGGATGTAATTAGCATATGTCACTGTCTGAGTTTAAGGTGTACAATGTGCTGATTTGATTCAGCTTACAGCGTTTTAAAGCTCAGACCACACACTGTTTCCCCGCCAGATTTCTAGCACATGTCTCTAAAGTGTAGGTGCGTGTAACTATTATGTGGATGAATTTCATGAACATGATGTTGAGCAAAGGAAGCCAGACTTGTGTTTCGAGTATATAATGTTTGATTCCACATATGTAAAGTTCCAGAACAAGAAGAAGTACTTTTTGGGATTGGAATCCTGGCTCCCCTTGGAGTCTTACAGTTCCATTGGGGGACAGCAGGGCTGGAGCCCCCATAATGCTGCTGGTGTCGCTCGGTCTGGAGTTGGGCTCCATACGTGTGTTCATCTTGTGTGTGCGCCCGTGCTTGGTGCACTTGTGTGCATGTCTGTATTTCCTTTGATAAAAACTTTACATTAAAATGTGGATACTTGCGGGGTGCCTGGGTGGCTCAGTCAGTTAAGCATCGATTCTTGATTTTTGGTTCAGGTCATGATCTCACGGTCATGAGATCGAGCCCCACATTGGGCTCTTTGCTGACAGCATGGAGCCTGCTTGGGATTCTCTCTCTCCCTCTGTCTCTGCCAGGAGCTCTTGCAAGCTTATTCACGCGCGCTCTCTCTCTCAAAATAAATAAATAAACTTAAAAAAATAAAGCCTTTAAAAAAATAAAAGTAAAATATAGATACTTGCAGTATTATAATTCAGTTATCACACCTGATAAGGTTAATTAAAAATTCCTCATTATCATCTAATAATCAGTCCATGTTCAAATTTCCCAAGAATGTCTTTTTACTATAGTTTTGATGAAAAACAAGATCCACACAGACTTGACAGTATGCATTTGGTTGTCATGACTCTTAAATTGTTTAAAGAAATTCCTTAATAGTTTTATCAGGGTTTAATTGGCATACAATAAACTGGATATTTCTAGACCGTACCGTTTGGTAAGTTTTGACTTAGTTGTACGTATTCTTCTGAATACGAAACCCTCACCATGGTCAAGTTGATGAGCAAACCCATGACCCCTAGAAGTTTCCGTGCGCCCTTTATGACCCCTGGCACTCTTCCTCCTCCCCGCTGCACATCCCCAGCAAGGGTGAGTCTGCCTTCTGTCTCTGCAGGTTTGGACCCTTCATCTAGAGCCCTCCTGTGGTACCATGCCAGTGCCTCGTGGACGAGTCCCAGGCAGCTGTCGCCTGGGTGTCCCACGCTGGAGGGACACGTTTCACCTCCCTGTGCTGTCACTTGTTCCTTGGCCCCATGTCTCCTGCACACTGGAAGTTCACCCCAAAACCCTGACCAGCGTATCCTCGGGGATGCATTCCAACACCCCCAATGGACCCCTGGAACTGGGGCAGTGCCGACCCCTGTATATGTTGTGTTTTTCCCTAGATGTACATACTTACGATGAAGTCTAATTTATAAATTCGGTGCAGTCAGACACGAACAACAGTAACTAACAGTAAAATAGAACAATTATAACAATTCATTGAAGGAAAAGTCATGTGAATGTGGACTGTCTCCCAAAACACCTGACCACACCAACCCACCTCCCCCCGCCCCTCCCCCCCCGCCACTCTGGGTGGTCACTGGAGGTGTAAGATGCCCCAGGACCGGATGGAAGCAGGAATGATGGAGCCAGGCATAACCGTGGACGAGGGCAGACTGCTGTGGATTTCCCCTTGTGCGGCCGGTCACCTCACATGGCAGCCGGGACACACAGTGGCCCCCGTCCCGCCCTCGGGGACACCAGACTGACGGGCAGCCTGTCCCTGTGCTCGTGCGTCCCCGTCAGCCTCCTAGTTAGCAGTCTCAGCCGTCGAGGGCCTGCCCTGAAATCAGTATTCCATTAAGATCTTTAACGGTTTTCTCTCATCTGAAAAGAAGCACGTCCCTTGTCCGTCCCTCAGGCAGGTCTGTCACCCTGAATGCAGGATAAGTGCCTAGTCCTCTTCCTGAACCCAGTCTCAGTAAGGGACTGGTCCCCCGCTTACTCCCAGTGTGAAACACATCCTTCTCCCTCGTCCCTCCTTTCCTCTTCCCCCTCCCCCTCGCTCCTCCCGTCTTCCCTCTTTCCTCCTCCCTCCCTCCCCCCTGCTGTCACTTTTCCTGAATTATCAATATGAAAGCGTAATTTTTAAAACTGTATTCCGTGCGCTTTCAGTCGCCTTCAGCCCTTATTCTTCTTGAACCTAAACCTGATGCATCTTGGCCACTGGGCAGCCCTTCCTGTTCTGAGCTTCCTCACCTGGAGATCCCAGTCCTTGATGGTATTGTACAGCAGGATGTCCCGGGATCGTCCTGTGCCTTCCTGCCGCACAGCTCCAGCTCAGGTGGAGTCATCCCCACCTGGTTTCCTTTAGGGTCAGATGGCGTTTATAGACGAGAGTCTGGGCACCGAGGGTGGGAGAGGGGTGCTCACTGCCTCCAGCTGGGCATTCTGGGTCTTTTCAGGGTGCAGAGAAAGGAAGCATTATGAGTTCATACTGGTATTTCCACCTCAAATGTAAGATTACTTTAACTTTGAATTTACACTTGAAATAGCTTTACTATAAAATTGTTTTTAGAAAAATTAGCATCATTACTTACTTGCTTTATCCTACTATTATATAAAGAGTTTCAAAAATAGAATTTCAACGGTACGACTCCCAATAAGAGTCCCGAATGCAGTTGAAGTATTTGTCCTTGGACTGGATTATGCTACAACAGATTACAGTCAAAATCCTGAATTCTAAGTTATTTTCTCTGTTTGGTCGAGTCATCAACTTAATACAAAACTAGGCTCACTCATTTCAAGGTCTGGTTTGGCTGTGTTCTTTTTGCTTCAATATTTTCTTTAAATTTTCTTTAAAAATCATTTCCTAAAAAATCTGCTAACACACTGTAAGTTCGATTTTATTTTTGAACGTGTAACTCATTTGCAAGAGCTCAGAGTCAAAACCATAAAAAAGGTATATTCGGAGAAATTTACGTTCCTCTTTCTGTCCCCCCGAAACCCCATATTAGGTTTTCGGTTTATCCTTTTCCGTTTTCCGCAACATAAGCAGCCACACGCGTTTGTGCCCCACCCTCTTACTCCGAACGCAGCAGGCTGCACGCCTCTGTCCCCCTAACAGCAGGTCCG